TCGCGTTGCGAGAGCCACTCTGCCGCGCCGCTGCCGCCACGTCCGCTGCCGTGTCTGCCGCGCGCAGGAAGGCCTGTGGAGAGACAAGTCGCGGAAGCGTCGTGGACGTGTCCAGGAAAGGCCTGCCGCGTGCGCAAGGGACGCCTCGTCGTCTGCGTCGTCGCGGCGCGGTGCGGAGGCGTTGGCAGAGGAGCCGGTCCCGCCAACCGGCACCGCAGCCGGGGAGCTGATGCGCGCCGTGCTGGCGTTGGCGGGACCGGGCTCCGCCTTTGCTAATGCGGCGGCTGCAGCGGGCGCAGTGGCGGCGGCGGTGGAGGCGGCAGCGGAGGCGGAGGCGGACGCGGCGGACGCGGCGGACGCGCTGAGCTTGTCCTCCGGGCCTCTGCTCTCGCCCTCTGCGTCCTCCTCGACCGCTGCACCGCCCAGTGACGACACTGCCGCGGACACGCGATGGCGCGGGTGGTGCCGCCACACCGTCGAGTGGTTGATGCCTGGCTCGTCGAATGGGCCCGCCGCGTCGATGACGCGAATGAATGGGTCATCGTGCGGCACGTGGGGCAGGTGCTCGCGAGAGCGAGTGGTGTAGTGGTACCTGGCGCCAGGCGAGAGGAGGTCGGCATGAAGGACTGTGCGTGCTGGTGTGCGCGGGCGAGCAGCTCACTCGTAGTAGAGAGGCAGCAGCGAAGCGAGGCAGCCGAGGGCAAACAACTTGTTCAGCAGCGAGCCGGGCGCTTTTTTCCTGCGACGCGAGGAGCCGGAGGCAGCCATGATGAGCGCCCGGCGAGAGCGCGACAGCAAGCCGAGACTGCTTGAAAAAAGAAATCTCAACGAATCGCGACAGCCACAGCTTGCAGCGCCGCCAGCCCCTGCCGCCGAGCCGCCAGCTGCGGAGCCGGCGACCAACATGACGTACGCCGCCGCAGCCGCATTGCACCCGCAGGGTGCCACCGACCGCGGGAGGCCAGCCCGCCGCGCCTGCGGGCCCGGCCGCCGCCGCGCGCGTGCCGCCGCCGCCCAGCGGCGGCGGAGTGCGCGGCTGCACTTTCACTGTCCCTAATCCGGGAAGGAAGCGCGGGCAGCAGCAGCGCGGCAAGGGCCGCAGTGCCAGCGGCCGCGCCAGTGCTGGACCCCGGCTCGTCGACAAGAACGCGCTGTCGGCGCGCGGCGGCGGGCCCTCGCGCCAGTCGCGCTCTCCCTCACCGGACTCGCCGCCCGCCAAGCGGGCGTCCTCCGCCGACTCCTCCGGCTATGACACGGATCTACCGGACGAGGTGCAGCAGGAGGCGGTCCGCAGGGTCTGCGGCGCGCTCGGCCTGAAGGAGCAGTACGACGCGGCGGTGGCGGCGGGAGAGCTGCTCGAGCTGCTCGAGAGCCTGCCGCGAGGGACAGTCGAGGCCTCCATCCGGCTCATGCGGGGATACACCCGCACGGGCGAGTGGCCCGAGCCCATCCTACCCAGCCCTGCCCCGGAGCGCGGCCGATCGCCTAGAAGCCCCTCTGATGAGTGGTCAGATGAATAGTGCCCGAGAGCGAGGGATACGGAGGGGAGCACAAATAGGACGCCCAGCCTTGCCCTCGTGCCGCCGAGTGCGTATCCTATGCGAGAGAGATCCCCTGTGGCAGTGCCCGTGCCCAGCCCTCTCCGCGCCGCGATGCGCCCTCCCCCCTCGCTTTTGCAAAATCCTGCAAAGGTGGGGACGTGTCTGTCCTCGACCCAGCCCTAGCTTGGGATGTCCGTTTTATTTATTTATTTATTTATTTAGCCACAGCTTCCCCTTTACAGCCTGACGAGTTCGCCGCGGCGAACTGGCGAACTGGTTCGTGAACTGGTTCGGTGAACTCGCGGTTCGTTCGGTTTCGGAGTTCGCTCCGGACGGCATCCCCTTGGTTCGCTGCATCGGTTCGGTCGTTCGCCCTTGGGTGCCCGAACCCTCGAACTAGTTCGTGAACGCGAGCCTTTTCTTTTCTCCTCCCCCCCCCGACCCGCTTCACACCCGCAGGCCGAGGACTACCAGGGAAGTTCGTCTGAACTGCGAACGAACCGCGAACGAACCGCAATATTTATTTTTTGGCTCTGCAGGCCTGTATAGTCCCAGTATAGTCCCTGGTTGCCTACTAGAGGCCTAGTACGCCTGGACGCCTCGGGGAGCCCCCGTCTCCCCCATTCTACTCGCCAGTCAGCACGCACGGCGCCCAGGCACCACAGGGCGGCCCTGCTCACAGCGCCTTCATGGAGTACATGGAACATGCGCAAAAACCACGCCAAGTACGCGATGGCGTGAGCAAGGAGGCGTCGAGGCTGAGCGCCCCCCCCCCCCCCCCTCCCCCTTTTCAATAGTCCGCGGCGGGCGGCGGCGCACCGGGGTAGTCGCGCCCGCAGTCCGCTAGATTGCAGACTGTCGCGGACCGTCAGAATTGTGCTAGTGCCGCCTGTGTATATGGGCACCTGAGATTGAGGGCCAGACCGCGTCCGCACGCGGCACGTGGCGCAGTTGCGCGAGTTCGTTCGTTCAGCGCGGCTCGTGGCTGAACTGCACGAACAAACTTTTGGCGATGATTTTCTTTTTTCCTAAGTTCGAACGGAGTTCACGAACGTTCGTCCGTTTTCGCAGTTCGCGCCTTCCACAGCCGTGGCGGTCCGTTCACTTTCGAGGTTCGGGCTGGGCCCCGCCGGCTGCGTTCGTTCGAGTTCGGAGTTCACGAAATCCGCGCGAACTCGAAAGGCTGTTCCCCTTTGTCCACCTGTAGTCTTTCTTTCAGAAGCCGCAGGTGGGGGCCAAGCAACGTACGCGCGATCAACGAACGAGTCCGGAGACGCGCAGAGCGGGGCCACAGCCTCGGCTCGCGAGGCACTTGTGCTCCACCCCACACGGCCAGCGGAGCGAGACCCTAGGCCTTGAGTGCCAGCGCGCCGGCGGCCGTGATGGCACCCCAGACAAAGGCGCCCGCGGGCTTGAAGCCGACGCGTGTGGCGTCGAGCACCGCGAACTTGACGCAATTTGCGGCGAGGAGAGCGAGGCCGGCGCAGAGCCCCTTCTTGTGCCCCTGCTTGTCGGCGACGGCCACGTACGCCGTGTTTGCGAGCAGATTGCCGCCCGCGAGGGAGAATAGCGCTAGGGCCATCTCGGTGGCTGGCAGCTTGTTCTTGTACGCCTCCCACGTCTTGTCGGGCGCGACGAGGGCCTGTTCGTAGCTAGAGGTGTGACCGAAAGCCTGGTTTACAGCCCGCGAGGTCGCAGCGCACCTGGGCCGCCGCGATGCCACCGAGGACGGTTCCGGGGACGACGCTCTTGACCTTGCCGGCGCGGGTCGCCTTGCCGAGCACGGCCAGGGCGGCAATCCACGCGGCGAGGGGCTCCTTTGGCCCTCCGAGGGCCTCAAAGACGGGCGCACAGGCGAGGAGTGAGGCGGCGCCTCCCGAGAGGGACATGGCCTGCGCTGCCTTGGAGCCGCCCTCGAGGCCGGCGACCGAGGTGGCGCCGAGCACAACCTGGCCGACTGCGAGATAGCGCATCATAGCAACCTCAACTTTAGTCGGCTCCTTGTCGTAGCCGTACATCTCGATGTTGCGCTCGGGAGCCATGAAGGCGAAGGTTCCCGACGCGACTTGGAGTAGGGCCATGCCGTTTGTCACGGTGTCGACGTCGCCGCCGCGGAGGCGGAGGTACGACGGCGTGACCGCCGAGCGGGAAGCGAGCGCAGCTGTGAGGGCGAGCAGCGAAAGCATATTGTCAGGGGTGCACTGGCGTGCCCAAGGCCGACGGTACGCCGAGTTTGCCCGCCAAAAAGAATCTTAGAACAAAACTCCCTCGCACAACACTGGGCACGGGACTGGCGCGCACTGGCACGAACACAGGTACACCAAAAAGAAAGCCTAAGCGCTTGGGCCCTCGGGGAGGGCCTGCGGGCGGCCTTCTCTCGAGGTCTCGAGATACACAGAGCGGCCAAGCGCCGAGTAAATGAGGGAGCTCTGTGCTGCGTGTAATGGACGCCCATACACCGTGAGTTTTTATAATCCTATCCTATTATACTACACACCGTCCGGTCCGTGTTTGATTTAAGGTTTGTTGTTGGCAAGTCAAGACACAGAGGTCAGAGCTCACACAGAATCACAGCGGGAGGAAAGCGGCGAGTCGCACGCAATTCCTGGGGTCCTTGTGGCGGGCCACCCTGTCCAGCCAGCCAGCCAGAAAGGCATGGATGCCAATCAATCTGGGGTCTCTCGACCGAGTCTATGATCCCTGGCCGCCTCCCGGTGGTGGCAAGGTTGTAAAACCGAGCAACGGAGATGGTGCGGGAGAGTACGGTTGTTCCAGGGGGTCACGACACGCACCGACCCTTCACGAACCGAAAGGCTGTGCCCGGGGAAGGCACAGTAATCCGGCACGTGTTGGGCGCCCCATTCCGTTTGGCGGCTAGGTCGGCTCAGGGCCCCGTCCACTTCCCTCCCACTTGGCGCGTGATGATCAGGAGATGCCACCCAGGCTGCTCCCAGGCCAGCCAGGGCAGGGGCGGAGGGCGAGGGCGGAGGGCGGGATGGGCGCCAAGCGGCAGGGAGCGGGCGGAGTGGAACGCACAGATGGGGATGGCGAGGGCGGAGGGGCGGGAAGCGGGGAGGACGGCGGGAGGGTGGAAGTTGGCATGGGCGGGCGGTGGGTGGTTTGGTAGGGCGGGGGAGAGGGCGAGGGGTGCAGTAGGGGGGCGGTGGGGGCGAGGG